GTTCAAACAGCAATGTGATACATAGTATTTATACTTTAGCTAGCTCTAGGTGACTCCACACTCAGAATTCTGTCTCTCATTCAAAGGTGCTGAATTTCCCTTTGCAACCAGCTCTGAAACCTAAGTCTTGGCTTTGGATACCCCTGTGGGGAAAGAGCACTACCCAGGCTTGAACTTGAAACTTTCAGGTCCTTAGTTCGCCACACAACCACCTGGGCCATTGACCCCAGCTATAGAAGCCACCCTCTGAAGATCTCAGGAACCTCATAGGACAAATGCCCTCCACTTAATTTAAAAAATAAAAAATAATGAAGTTCCTTGTGTGAAGGTCCTGTGCCCAGCAAGAAGAGGCCACAGACAGTCACAAACTCCCCCTTTTTGTCTACCACCTCCATGCCCAGCCCCAAACCTACTACACAAGCCTGCATGACTGCTGGCTTCTAACGCTAGGCCTTCAATGCTCTTGGCAAAATTCAAAAAGGGGAAAAAAGAAGCCCATTTTCACTGGGCCAAGTTACCCATACTCAGAGACACTGCCAGGGCTCCAAATGAAGCACAGGTCAGAATCTGGGGCTTAGCATGTCATGCCAAAACCCCAAAGCAGTTTCAGCATGCTGTGCCAAAGCCTTGAGTGTTTCCTCCCTGGAGCCCTGGCACTGCTCAAGTGAACTCTGGAACCCATTTAAGCTTACCATGTGTTGGGTGGCAGGGAGGAACACATCCTCAAGTGCACAAAGCCAGCCTTTTCCAGCTGGGAAGTAGAGAGACATAGAGCTAGGGCTTGAACTTGCAGCTATAAGCTCCCCTGGTCATCATACAAGCATCTTGGCTATTGAGCCCAACAGCAGAAACCTACCTCTGAAGATCTTAAGAACTTCATGGGCCAAATGCCCTCCACTTCATTTAAAAATAAATAAATAATGTGCCTTGTGTGAGGGTCCTGTGCCCAGAAAGAAGAGGCCACAGGCAGCCACAAACTCCCCCTTTTCATCTACCACTCTCATGCTCAGCCCCAGACCTACTACACAAGCCTGCATAGCTTCTGGCTTTGAGGCACTCGGTCATTAAGAGTAGGCTACCCCAAAATTCAAAAAGAAAAAAAAAAGCCCATTTTGGCTGAGCCAAGTCACTCATGCTCAGAGACACTGCCAGGGCTCCTAATGAAGCATAGGCAGGAATCTGGGGCTTGGTGTGGCATGCCAAAGCCCCAGCAAGAATAGACCACAGGCAGCCACAAACTCCCCCTTTTTGGTCTACCACCCTCATGCTCAGCCCAAACCTACTACACAAACCTGCATGGCTGCTGGTTTTAGGTGCTATCCCCTCAATGGTCTCAGCTCCCCCAAAATTCAAAATGAAAAAAAAATGGCTAGGTCAAGTCATCCATGCTCAGAGACACTGCCAGAGCTCCAGATGAAGCATGGACCAGAATCTGGGGCTTGGCATGAGTGTTTTGGGGGGAAGGGGGAGAATTCCTTAAACCCACAAAGCCTGCCATTTCCAGCTGGGAAGCACAGAGGGTCCAGACAGAAGTGCAGCTCCAAGCTATAACTCAGAATGATTTCTGCAAAGCGTTCTGAGTTACAACGTTACCCCAGGCGAAAATTCAATGTTGGTTCCAGTGGGGGTGGGATCTAGCTGTGGGCTGGGAGCCTGTAGTCAGGTTCCCACAGCAACAGCCAGGCTCTCTGCCAGTGCTCGCTGTTTCCAGAATGGGAAGGGGTGGGAAGGCATCAGAGGGAGCTTAGTTGTGAGGCTCCCCAGCTGATGCTGAAGGGTGGGGTGGGTGAATTAGAGTTCCCCCACCTCCAATACATCCACCCCACTTTCTAGGCAGGGCTTCTCCTCTCCCTTTACCTCCTTCCATTCTGAAAACAACAACAGGCAGAGTTATGGAAATGCAAACAGCAGTTACGGAAGATGCTACATTTTGAAACGTCTTTATCTGATACCTTGTGCAATGAGGTATTTTTGCACCTTGTGCAATCAGATTTTTACCAAATCAGCCATTTTTTAAGCTGTTCTCAGATGTGCACTTGTGTCTGGTCACTGTCATTAAGACCTTTTCTGAGTCTAGGCCAGAAGCAGTGGTGGAAGTCAGGGTTGTAAATCTCACAAAAGCAGCTAAGAAAAAAAGTGTCTGGAAAGATCAGGAGAGGAAAAATGATCAGAGGAAATAACTGGATGTTAAAGAATATGCCTGACTAAGAATTTAAATTAATATTCACAAATACCTGTAAAGATCAAAGAGCTCTGCTGACTTGTGTCAGTGACACACATCTCTTAGCATTGTAAAGGTCACACGGTTTAAGACAAGGTTAACAGATTTGTGAAATACGATTAGCTGGACTATATATGTTGAAAGAGTTAATTGTTGAATTAAGTAAAAGAATGTGTCTTTGAAAGGTTTTGTATAAGACAAAATGGCTTATATTTTGATAGCTCTAAGGACTCAAATGATATAAGTCAAAAGTTAAGTTACATGGGACAACAAAAAAGTATTGAGAGATGAATATGGAGCATCCATCTAAACAGCTGTTTTCACACTGGTGTTTTATTGCCTCTAAAAGATGTATCATCCTCAAATCTTTCATGAAAGGAGAAGTAGTAGGAGTAAAGAGCCTTATTGTAATTTGGGGCATGTTGAAGTGATGCTTTACTTTTGGGCCTAATACTGCCAATGTTTAAATGCCCATACTCAGTTTTACTATTGTGAATAGTCCTATTGAAATCAACAGTAAAGTTAAGAACATGCTAGTATTTGACGGATGGGGCATACTGAGCAATAACTGAATTGTTAAATAATCTATCATTAACAAGAGGGCCCTACCTGAGAAACTAAAGTGGACTTCATGGAAGAAGCAGATTTTAAATTGTGTTTCATGACCCCCATTCAACAAGGGATTTCAGCACATGCTTAGATCCTACTGAAGCCTGGCCCTTATGTACTTTACTGAATGGAGTCAATATTAGCACAAATCCTCCTATTTTGCTTTACAGAAATTTAAGTTTAAGGGGCATTTCTTAACCTAAGCATAATCTTAAATAACTAAATGTAACATTGCTTCACAAGGGAGATAGCACCTGAAGCTGCAAGGCAGCAAAACTGCTTCCTGGAGCTCATCTTTACCTTGTAAGTCAAGTTAACTCCCATGTTGTTTCTAACTCTGGCCCACAAAAAAACCCTTTATTTAGGTGTGATTTTGCCTTTAATTCAAACTACCTGGCCTGTCTGTGTTGCTAGCACTCATTTCAAACATAACTGCTCTGTGGATGCAGACAAGTGCCACTAAAGTGGTGCTTGTCTCTGATACCTCACCACAA